TTTTTACAAAGAAAAGGAACAAGAAACAGTCTGCAACTTCTTCAAGAAAGCAAGGAACTGTACCCATCACTGCCTGATAATCATAGAATATCAGGTGTTAATTTTGTCTTGTCCAGCAACAAATTAACAAGTAGGAAGAGGCATAACGAAAAAATTTGCTTGGGAGGGAGTCATATTTCAATTGAGAGTTCTATATGCAACTCCTTTTTGTTAGAAATTGGAAGCGTAGGGTTCCTCAAATCAATCTATAGCTACTGAACACTCTGAACACTTGGCCTTCATAGCACTGATTGTGATAGAAATGAATTCAGATAAAGTAATCAGAATGCTTTTGGAGGAGACAGTCCAAGTGGCATTGGCACTGGAACTGACCTCAGCCCTGACCATTCTGGTATCTGTGAGGCCCTCTGCCTGTTGACATCCACTACTACAGCATGGATAACCTCATTTGCAGCCCCAGTGCTGGTTTCTATGCTGCATATTTTGAAACCACTTGCAGAAAATGCCCTTACCCCACTGGTAAGGGCATTTCACTGTGTATATTCATAGCAAGCTGTAAGGAGTAAGGATATACTTAAGGCTGAAGATGAAAGAAAAGTAATTAGAAAAGACTGCCTTGAATTAAAATTCTCTCAGTTGAGCAGAACGAGGTCTTTAGTACTGATTCCCACGAGGAAAAGCAAAAACCAAACACCTCATGTCACCTGAAAAGATATTTGGTCAGTACCAAAACCTGCATCAAGAATGTTACAGGCTTCATGTAACTTCTCAGTGATCTCTTCTAGCACTGATTCCTTTCTCCTGTCATAAAATGACCACAAAGTGGTCTGGAATCCTATTTAAATTTTGACCATACCTTGTAGCATTTACCCACATAGGGATATCCATATTCATAGGCAACTATGCAGTAAGGAACCAGGAAAGATTATGAAGCCTTTGATGTATCTGATTAGTTTCATTCTGCAAAGCGAGAAGTATTTTAATTTTTGTTGTTGATTTTACTTGAATTTTAGAATTTCTGTTCCAGAGTTAGCTGGGGCAAGGCCTTTGACAACTTGAGTACAAGAGCTTCTTCTCTTAACTCTTCAAAGGTTCCCTTAATGATAAAAGTAAGGCCAAGTACAAGAAAATACAAGTTCAGTGATCTTACGCTTTGTCCTTGCCTGTGGGATGTCTACAATGGCATCACTATCTTAAAGAAACACCTACCCTAATGCTCAACAGAAATAGAAAAATGTAATCGTGCTTCATTTTACAATTCATTGAATTATTATTGGAAACATGGAGGACCTGATAAGAAGTGGTCTTTTCACATACCTGTTCTTACTTCCAAATAGTTTAAATGAGAGTCAAAATCTCTTTTTAGTATCATCTATTTAGAGAAATGATAGGAAAAATCCTTCCCAATGACCAAAGACAAGAATATTTTTAAGGAAAAATCCCAAACGAAGTCACTATTTTCAACTCTGCAGTAGGAATTTTAAAAATTGGGATGGAAAATCAGCAGTTTTCTGGCAAATCTGTATTATCTATCATGTGCAGTTAAAACACCAGCTAGAGACGGAAATGAATCAGGCTATTGTGATTGAAAATAGATAAAAGGCTGGAAAGCAGGAGAGCTTTGTTCACAGCTGCCAGAGGACTACCTGAAAAAGTGGTGGTCTGTGATAGTAAAGAATGGAGACACCACTTTTTGAATAAAGATTACTTAGGGTTGCATTTCAGTCATTGTATTATAAAGTAGGAGAGGTTCATTGAGGTAACGTTTTTTTCCAGTGGTTAATAGGAGAAAAATATTCAGCTTAGATATCCCTAGCAGGCTTGCAACGTTTCTCATATATAGGTAATGTGGAGAGAATAATTGGAGGAGCTAAGCATTTTGGATATTTTTTAAAGAAGATTGCATATAATTAATTACCACAGTATTGCATGCATGAAGAAACAACTCTCTTAAAACTTCTGTGAAATTTGAGAGTGTTTCTGAGGCTTTTCTCTTTGAAAGAAGCTATTTTTCTAGCACAGTTATCTGCGTGGAATATGGAGAAAAAATATAAATTACACTAGAGAAGATCTTGGAGGAGGAACCTTGTTGGAATGTTTTCTTTTGAGACCTCTGTAAATAATCACTGTACTACTGAACTAAAAAAATGCTTGAATCTTTAAAGTCTGTATAAATGAGAATTGAATTTTTCTGCTGAGGAGACTATGGATGTGGACTCCAAAGTCTAGAATGTATTTCCTTGTTTTCTGTTGAACTGCCTTCACCCTCTGCAATGTGCTGATAGCACTATCTGTTTATCCACTATTTAGCTGTTTACCTTATTTACACTGCAAGTGCTTAAGATATCTGAATAAGCTCTTACAAGGTCTTGTTAAGGTGCCACACTTATTGAAGCTGTGATGCAACAAAAAATCCTGAATGCCCTGCAGTGTCAGTGACATTCAAAGATCTGTGTTACATGCAGACCAAGATGTATGTTGGCTGGCTTAGTGAACAATCTGAACAAAGAAAGACCGGAGAAAAGAGATTTTTCATAGGATTTTAGAAGTAGCTTAGTATAAGGCAGTTGGCCACATAGCTTAGAAAGGAACTGATGGTATACAGCAGGAGGACTTAATGAGGAAAGTGACAAGATTAGAAGGGTAGACGTTTTCTATTGGTGAGGGGAAAAGAGAACCAATGAGGGAAGTACTAGGAGGCAGGAATTAATGGGTGTATGCAAGCTAGAGACATAACCTGGAAACAAGGTGGTAATTTTATTTTGATGCCTTCCTAGCCCACTTATAGTTTGGAAGAGATGAAGGAGTGGAGCTGAGTGGAAACACAGACCTGTCTTTCTGTGCTTTATATCCTTACTTGTCAGAGCTATTGACCCCCAATTTGAACATCAAAGCCATAAAGAGACCCTGTGGCCTCTTCGAGGACGTTATCTGCTCCTCATCATATTTTTAACACACACTTTCACTTGAAGTGCATAGAGACATTGCTGCAGTCATCCTTGTCACACTTTCAGCACATAGCCAGATTATTGCCTGGCATTAGCAGATTGACAGACTCCAGGATCCTGGGAATGTTGCCCTTTGTGAATACATCAAAATCTTCATTATTTTTCTAGCAAAATACAAGGCACTGTGAACAGAATGCAATCCAAATTCTGAATGCTGTCTCTGTGACAGTAGCATGCACATCTCAGCGTCTGGTCTGTGAGAGATGTGCCAGATTCCAGGGCTCAGTCTGGAATGTGAATGTCTGGTCCCAGTCTAACCACAGAGTCCTGTGATTCTCTATAGGTAACTCCTGGTAACTGGCTGCTCATTTAGTAAGCATGTTCAGTAAAACTATCTTTTGCCAAACAAACTTTTTTCATACCTGCCCTTTGGCATTAGGGACAAATGCCTCTTGGTCTACTCTCTCCTATTCCTCTGTACTTAAGACTATAAGGGAAAAAAGCCCTATTCTTGATTTTTGCTCTTTCTTCTGTCTTTCTTTTCCTCATAGGAATCATCTCTTCCCCCGTGCTTTCTCTTTTACCTCATGGTAACTCATGGTTAAAACCCATGCTTTTGTTTCATAACAGAACAGACCTGTGGCATCTCAAAGCTGAAGCATTTTTTTCACTATTTCTGCCTGACTATGCTATAATGTAAAGTGTGACGAGGTGAGGAGGGCAGCTGTAACTGATGAAGGTCTGCAGGAGGGTTTTGGTGATGAGATGCACCTCTGGATGCAAGGTTGGATCCACAGCTATTGGGCAACATAGCAGTATTGCCCAGAGTAGAAGAATCACAGGTTGTGAAGGCAGAAGGCTCTCCAACATGTGGAATCCTATGAAACAGAAAGAGAGTGAAATGATTTGACCTGCAGCAAATTGATCCTGTAGAGTATAACTGTAGCAAGAAAAGAGCTTTGTAGGATGTTTAAAAGAAGAACAGAACATTTACTTCCTTAAAACCTCTGTGGGCTTATAGTGTCTCCAGTGTCCACAAACAGTGCAGCATGGGAAGGAAAGTAATCATGAAAGCTCAGATTGGTGCCTTGGTTATGACTCTAGCAGTGATCTTGAGAATATGGATCACACTCTGTCTTATTATTCATGTATTGAATGCCAAAGTGTGCTCAGTGTTCACTGGCCTCTGAAATTGTGATAACAGTTGGAAAAGGACATTGGGATGGGCTACATCACTTGGGATGTGGGCTAAGATATTTAGAGTGTGTTCTACTGCTTGTCTGGGGTAGATAGTCCTGTCTCTAGAGTATTTACGTCCTGACTATTTGTGGAAGCCTAGGAAATGTTTACCAAAAAATTAATAAGGATAACGGTTGTCTTCTTGCCACACCTTTTTCCTGTAGGCTCTAATTACATAATAGTAACTTGAATGCACCAGTGACTGTTCTGTGGTACTGACGGTGACTAGCATGAAAGGTCTTCAATGCTCTCGTCCTTCAAAACAGTGTGACTGCATGAAAACTTCTACCTGGGTTTTGCTAACTTTCCAATTGCACCTGGTTATATATAAAAGTACCAGTATATTCAACAGTTTTATTTTCTTTAAGCAGGAATCTGGTTACTGTAGTTTGACTAATCACCAGTTTTTTTCTGATTCATAGGACATGTTCATGTGTGTGTTCTTTAAATATAGAAGTACATGAAATTTTATAAATAATGAGACATTCAAATATTTTGTATGATTCTTTAGGCAAAATATTATAGCATTTTAAAATGAAAGAAATTATGAAGTTGCATAACTTGCATAAGGCCACACAGCAAGTCATTGGCATAGCTAATTATTGGTATATTTTTCTAACTGTTCTAACTGTTCAACTGTTCAACTTTCAACTGTTTCTATAATCTGCTACCTGTACAAACTTCTCACCTTAGCACATTCAAGTTTTTAGGCATAACATGTTCATTCGCTAACATATTTGTCTGCTGTAACCAGTCTGCTAAATCTGATTTTGTTTCTCTTCCATCAAATACTCATTGCATTTCTTGTTACAGAGTCTCACACTGGGGATATCTGGCAATCAGCTTACACATTCATTGGTTTGCATAAGGGGTGGAGACAGGATTGCACAGTGGCAGCAACTATGCAAACAACTCATTTCACTCTAGCTCCCCCAGGTAAGAGATTCTTTCAAAGGAGATCATTGAATTTACCTGTTTCATATTTCAGTCACCACTGTCTGATACCCAATTGCACATAAAGCATCTGGTGTAAGCAAAACTAATTTGGATCTTCTTTTGTAAAATGCAAGCTGGATTAAGGGATCAGGTAGCCTCTTTCCTTACAAGAATCACTAGAGGGAACCATACTGTGAAAAAGATAAAATAATTAGGACAGCAGAAAACAGGCAGCATGGATCTCAACTGCAAATGTTCCTGTGTAAACTCAGCCTGTAAAATTATATTAGTTTGCTTATCAAGCAAGCTTCTTTTCAAATTTAATAGCTACCTATATTACACTGACTGTACCGACACCTGTGACTGTTATATTTTAGATGTTTTCCAGCTCCTATGAACTTGAGTTCTTATCACATAGGCAAAAAGATTAATATTCCACAGCCTCTTTAGTGTTTGAAGTCATTCTGGGGGAAAAGGCAACATAAAGTAGTACTAGACTTTGTCAAATGCAGTATGTAGTGCTCACATTTATAGTAGAATAACACTACAAAAGTTACTAAAAGTAAAGCTACTGGCCGAAGTCTGAATTATATCACAAGGATTCCTAGGAACTATGCTATCCAGATAATTAAAAGAAAGCCACAAGAACATAGAGAAGTGTTAGATATTTTTCAATGAACTTATGCAACAGATTTTTATGTGTGATCACAAGATTGTACAGAAATCTACTGTGAATTTTTAAAAATAAGATTAATGCTTTTCCATGTTAGTAGCTACGACTGAAATGACACATCACACACAGTAATTTGTGTTTATTTTGTATATTTTTCAGAAGATTCTGTGGGTTTTTTCCCCTACACAGTCAGAATGCACCCAGCATGTTTTCAATCTCATGTCTGTATTAACACTGAAAAAATCAAACATATAAAGAAAATAAAATAGTTGCATTGAAAAGACTAGTCCTTATCCCTGTGTAAACAATTTTTCTTCAAAGAAAACCATAAAATGTTTTCATCACCATCTAACAACTCAGCTCACTACTACTAAATTAGAGTTTTTTGAAGAAATTTGTCCCGTTGTTTTTGTACCCTTTATAGTGCTTTACACATCTGCAAAATAGGGTCTAACTCCCCATATTTCTTAGTCCATTCCACAAGTTACGAAATCTGGTAAAAGAATAAGCAAATACTAAGGATTCTCTTATCCAGCTAAATCAATTTTTTTTTCTTTCTATATGGTATACTACTTATTTCCTTTACACCTTTGCCATCTTATAATTAAACTTACCTCAATCTTTATGAACATGAAACAAAATTACCATTTTCTGGAACAAATGTTAACACAATATTACAACGGACTGTTAATCTTCCTGTTCAGCCTTCAGAATTCCCTGTAGCCTCAGTTCCAACCACTGGTCTGAACTCGGAAACAGCAAAACTCCAGCTGAGTGTTCTGTTTCTCTTCCCTTTCAGGTAAGAGTAATTCCCTAATTTTAAATGTTCTTTTAAACATTTGATTATTTTGCGATCCTATGTGCCAACTTAGAATGTTTCTTACTTAGAAGTATTCTATAGAGTTTATAATAAATAAATAAATAAATGAAACCAGTGGAAAAGACACTTTTGCATTTTTATTTTGATTCTTGAAAGGGAATAAGACATAAATCTAGCAAGGGAAACTCATGGGATTACGCTGGTGATAATAAAATAAAGGTATATTTCAGAACTGATTTTTTACTATTCTCTGTATATTAGATGTTCAGACTCTCTCTGAGGAGGAAGAACTGTGGTTTTTTGCATGGGAAAGCTTACTAGATCTTGCAAGTGCTTTTATTGTTTGTGTATGTCACTTGTTGCAGAGGATAGAGTGAAGACGAAAGCTGTGGAAGTATCTGAATGTATTTTTATATTTGAGATTTTTCTTCAATTATCTGAAATGCCAAGGACCTGTCCTGAGGCTGAACAGCCTCTAAAAATGGACGCTCTGAAGAATTTAAAGAATATGTTCTCTTGAATATTGTAATAACTTCTGTTTACCACAAGGTGGTATAAAACTGTAGCCGTCTTCAGTACCAGTAAATTCTACCAGTAATGATCCATATTCCTAGTCTAGGTGTCATTTGCATTGTGTTTTGCTGTGCTGTACCTCCTTACTGTCAGTGTGGCTATTCAGCAAAACCAGGTAGCTCGCTGAGTTACCGTGCTACCAAGAAGTGGAGAAGCAACTGCACATTGCAAGGCGTGGCTTTCCACACATAACAGGCTTTGAACAGTATAGCTTTTCCCAGTCGCCCTCTGAGAAGACCCCTCTGGAAGACCACACACGTAGAATAGGTAAAGATTTGGGTCTGGATGAGTTAATGTAGTGTAAAAAATGACTGTTGCTGAATAATGCCACTATCAGGGAGCTAAAATGTGAGACTTAATAATTATATTGAACTTACTCCAACAGAAGATTCAGAATGCCTTTTATGTAGCTAAGAGAGACCAGAAAGTAAAGGTATAAAGGTAACAGTCTCTCTTAATCACCAGAAATATTTCCCCTGAATTGGTGTAAAATGAATTTTGACTTTTTTTTTTTCTTTTTCCTGTGTCAGAATCTGGTCCCACATCCTCTGCAGCTGCAGAAGAATTCAAACAGGCTTTTTTTTTTTTTTTTTTTTTTAAATCTCCTGTCATCTACAACAGCTGTAGATAGTTAGAGTAACACACCTGTTTTGGAGCAGATAAACTTAGTGTGCTTTTGATTTGTGTCTGTCAGGACAGACACTTGTGTTTGTGTGAGAAAAGCAGTTGCAGTGAAACTACAAGAGTAAAAGCAGAGATCAGAAGTGTGAAGATTGTGATTACAGCACAGTGTTTTGCTGAAATGAGGTTCTATGTGATCTTTTGTATTTCTCCTGCTGCACCATCTTTTGTCAAGGAAAGCTCATTCTAAACAAAAATCCCAAGTAAAAATTGGGAGCTGTATTTCATAGGCCAAAAGTAACCAATCACATCAGAGATGGTTGTTGCTTCTGTCATCATCTACTTGGCCATTGCTGTTACAGTTGTATAGTATTTAATATAAAATAATTTTCTACTATGGCACACTTAAGTATTAGCTGTTAGGTTGGGAATGGTTGTTTTGAGGAACACTAGGGTGAAATCCAGCTTCAGGAACTATTTCAAAAGAGAGAGAGATTTCCTAATGTAAAATAAATAATAAAGAGCCCTTGTGTTGAAAATTCCTGTCAGTATTCCTATTTCACCCATAGAAAAAGAATATTTTTTTTAAAAAATAAAATAATAAGAAATACTAGCAAATAAATTCTTTTACTTGTATACACAGTTTAAAAAATTGTATTTTTACAATAACACAATCCTATGAAGCAATTTTATTAAACATGTAATACAGATCTTAATATAGGCTTTGTTAAAATTCTCATTCATATTTTAGTTTTCACAAAAATTCAAAATTGGTTTACAATCTGTCTTTCTAAAGAAAAAAAGGATGACTATCTGAATGCCACAGTTCAAAGGCAATAGTGCCAGAACAACCTTTCACTATTCTTTTAAAATACTTTTTTTCTTTTTCAAAAAAATGTCCTATTATTATGATGATGTTCTAATATTCCTCTTCAGCCTGTAAAGTCACCCACATTTCTGGGTACTGTAGAGTACAAAATGACTGGCTACAAAATGTTGGGTTTTTTTGCAGAAACAAAAATCTATGGTCTCAGTAAAATGTGAGCCCGACAGAAAATACATCAGGAACTTCAGGGAATGTGAAACTATGACTGGCAAGCTGTCATTAAATATAGTCTTTAAGCAAACTTCATGTAAAAAGGCAAAGATTTAAAGCAGTAGCTGTGACTGAAGTTATTCTAGTTCTTAGAAGCCTGGGATTAAGAAGGGCAAGAAGAATATTGTTTGACAAGTGCAGTGCCCCATGGTAGCTGATATATCTGGCTCACCACTGAGCTAATGATGCTCTTTGTTGTCATTTCCTTTCTCAGTCATGTAGCAAGCCAGGACAGACTACAAGTAGTTTCTCTATAAATAAATCTACAGCCATAAGCACGCGGTCTTGTTTTGTAGCCTTCCTCACCTGGTGCTGTATGTGTCTTTTCCTTTAAAACAAGGAAATCAAAATTTCCTTTCACTTGAAGTCCTTTCAAGTAACTTGTTTTCTTGTGTTCTTTTTTTCCATGTGATACCATTGATCTCTCTGATTGAACTCCTGATTGCCTTTCTTTCTTTTCCCAAAAGGAATAGACAAATTGACTGAGGCATGGAATGTGGAAAAGGAGGCAGAAAAAAAATGCAATCATTTGGTTCAGATTCTTGTCAATGATCATAGAGCCAACCACTTTATTATATAGTCATAGTCTTCTTGAATAACTGTGGCAGTTCCTTCAATTTTTCTGTACAGTGTGAGTAATTATACTTCTTTTATAGCTCAAGGATACTGTGAAGGTAAATGCATTGAAAATTGAGAAGTATCCTGACACTATCTCCTATAAGAGAAACTAGATGAATTTCTGAGAAAGAGAGAGAAAAAATTGGAATTGACTCTTAAATTAGATTACTTTTAGAGGTTGCTGTTTTGTATCTATCTCAAATGCAGATTGAATATACTTTTAGGACTTCAACTGTCAAGATTCTTACAGCCTGTCTTAGCTCTTTTCTCCGTCACTGTGTTGGTTGCTGTAAATCTTATTCTTAGTGACATACCTTTCCACATGGAAAGTGGAACTTATCAGTCCTTACTGATAAGAGCAGCCATCAGGGATCTCTGACTCAGGAGACCAGGGTTTATGAATGTTGAGGGGAAGGCTTGGGTCAAGGAGGATTGGGTCAGAGAACACCAAAACAAACTCGACATCCACAAGTCCATGGACCCTGATGGGATGCTGAGAGACTTGGCAGACATCATAGCTGGGCCACTCATAATCCTCTTTAAAAGGTCATAGAGATCAGGAGAGGTGCCTGAGGAATGGAAGAGAGCAAATGTCACCCCAGTTTCACAAAGGGCAAGAAGGATGACCCAGAGAACTACTGACCAGTCGGCCTCACCTCAATCCCTGGAAAGGTGATTGAGTGCCTCATTGTGTAGGCCATCTACCCACACTGATGACAAGAAGGCAATCAGTAGTCAGCATGGATTCATTACAGGTAAATTGTGCTTGACCAACTTGGTTGCCTTCTATAATGAAACTACCTGGATGGATGAGAGGAAAGCAGTGGGTATTGTCTACCTCAAATTTAACACGGTTTTCAACACTGTCTCTCACAAGATCTTAATAAGAAAACTTGGGAAGTGTGAACTGGACGAGTAGACAGTGAAGTGGATTGAGAACTGGCTGAACCAGAGGGTTGTAATCAGTGGCACAGTGTCTAGTTGGAGGCCTGTCACTAGTGGTGTCCCCCAGGGTTCTATGCTGGGCCCAGTATTGTTTAACTTGTTCATCAATTACTTGGATGAAGGTGTAAATGCCTGCTCAGCAAGTTCACTGATGATACAAAACTGGAAGGAGTGGTCGATACTCCAGAGGGCTGTGCAGCCCTTCAGTGGGACATCAACAGGTCAGAGAGATGGCCAGAGAGGAACTTTTTGAAATTTGAAAAGGGCACGTGCAGGGTCTTCCACCTGGGGAAGAATAACACCCTGCACCAGGATAAGCTGGGGGTCAACCTGGTGGAAAGCAGTGTAGTGGAGAAGGACCCGGGGTCAACAAGCTGTCTGTGAGCCAACAGTGTGTCCCTGTGGCCAAGAAGGCCAGTGGTATCCTGGGGTGCATTAGGGAGAGCATTGCCAGCAGATTGAGGGAGGTGATCCTGCCGCTCTACTCAGCCCTGGTGAGGCCACACCTGGAGTGCTGTGTCCAGTTCTGGGCTCCTCAGTACCAGAGAGACATGGAGCTCCTGGAATGGGTCCAGTGGAGGGCTGTAATGTTTAGGGGACTGAAGCATCTCTTTTACAAGGAAAGGCTGGGGCAGCTGGGCCTGTTTATCCTGGAGAAGACTGAGAGGGCACCTCATCAATGTACATAAGTATCTGAAGGGAGAGTGTCAAGAGGATGGAGCCAGGCTCTGCTCGGTGCTCCCGACCACTAGGACAAAAGGCAATGGGCAGAAACTGATGCACAAGAAGTTCCATCTGAACATGAGGAAGAACTTCTTTACTGTGTGGGTGACCAAGCACTGGAACAGGTTGCCCAGAGTGGTGGTGGATCCTCGCTCAATGGAGATATGCAAGAACTGTCTGGACAAAACCCTGTGCCATTTGTTCTAGAATGACTGAGCTGGGAGGTTGGACCAGACGACCCACTGTGATCCCTTTCAGTGTCACCCATTCTGTGATTCTGTTATTTGACTTTATTTTTATGTTTTCATTTACATCAATTAAACTTAATTTTTAAAATATTGTTTTCCTTTTTTACCTTTTTTTTTTTTTTTTCCCCTCTGGTTTAATTTGCTCTGCTTTTTCTTTTTTTTTTTACTTTGATTTAGTTTTGTGTTTGAGGTTAGATTTTCTTTTACTTTGTTTTACTTTATGGGGTTTTGAGGTTATTTTATTTCTGTTTCATTTATTTCTTCTTCTACATTGGGGTCTTTTGGGGTTTTTTCTTTGTTCTTTTTTCTTTTGGTTTATTTTTTTTTGTTTGCTTTAGGATTTTTACTTTTTTGCTTAATAGCAGGTTTTTTCATTGTGGTCTTATGTTGGGACATATTTTTTTATGTGGGAGTTGTTGATTTGTTTTGTCTGGTTTATTTTGATTTACTGTTTGGATATTTTTATTTTTTTGTGTTGCTTTTAGCTTAATTTTATTTTTATTCATTTTACATGAAGATTTTTTATTTTATTTGGTGGGATTTTTATTTATTTTGAATTACTTCTGATCACTTTTATTTACTTTGGGGTTTATTTGTTGTTTGATATTACTTTGGCTGACTTGTTTTTACTTTTACTTTCTGTTAGGGTTTTACTTATTGGGAGTTTATATGTTTTACACTGGGTTTTATGTTGGGGTTAAATGTTGAATTTTATGTTGGGTTTTTATTTTTGTTTTGTTGTGGGGTTTTTATTTCCTTTGTGTTACATTGGGTGGTTTTTTTTCTTTTATTTTGTTTTACTTTGTAGTGTTTCTTTTTTTATTTGTATATGTTGTTTTACATCAGAGTTTTACATTGTATTTGGTGGGGGTTTTCAACTTTGGTTTACTTTGGTTTACTTCTTTATTATTATTATTGTTGTTGTACTTTGGCTTTTCTATTTTTCCATTTTATGTTATAGTCTTATCTTGGGGTTTTAGTTTTGAGGACTTTGTTTACTTTTGTTTTCTTTTGTTAATTTTCATTTTAGTTTGGTTTTATTTTTTCGGTTTTACTTTGATTCTGTTTTATTTTTCTTTGGTTTACTTTGAGTTTTAATTTACTTTTTAATTAACATTAAAATTTTACTTCTTATTTTACTTTAACTTTTAATTTTAATTTATTTTACTTGGTACTTTAATTTTTTATTTAACTGTATTTTACTTTCTCCTTTTGGCTGGTCCCCCTTGGGGAAAAACCTTCCCCACCTTTGGCTATGGGGCATAAGAGACCATCTTTGTGGGATGTGGGCAGCAGGGAATAACAGCCAAAATGGACCAGAGGAG